AGAGAGGGAAAAAAAAAACTGATATATAAACAATTTGAAGAAAAAAAAAACCTTGACTAGCAATATTAATTTTCAACTAGCAACTGATTATATCCTTACCAGAGTTTGTATATGATTTCAAAGAGGTTTTGATTTCACAAATATGGTTTGGACTACTTTGAACCACATAGACATTAAGGGAATAAACTAGGACAGGAAAGTAAATAGCACCAATTGTCTGCCTTCTATGTGCCAGGCAGAGTTGCAGGAACTTGACAAACACTATTTCATTAAATCCTAATATTAGTCATTTGGAATTATTCCTCCACTTTCAGACATATCAGAAAAAGTTACTTAAGAGGGACCTAATTGTACATCAAGCTATGATGCAGATTTACCTGTAGTAACAGTAATTAGTAACTACTGTTGCCATCACCCAAGGTGTGTGTTCAGCACCTTTTTAATAGGACCAGAAGGAAATATGGCTGTAAATGCACCTGCTCAAGGTCAAATACACATGGCTTGTATCCAAATGCCTAAATGCATGAAAAGCCAGGCCCGTCATTAAAACCCATCACTGAAGCTACTGGGGTGCTTAACTTCAATCCAAACCACGCCCTTAAAGGAACAATGAGAAAGTGTGTTTTAAGTCAAACTAAAATGACTTGAGAATAGTGCTCCCAGTCCCAGCTTACACTGCTGAATCAGATGCAGAGACATGAGACCCAGTAAGGCAAGATATAGGGGAAAGGACAGCATTCTTGTAAAACCCTTCCCTGTTGTAGTAACACTGATGCATTATACACAGAAGGGGTGATTCCTGACCATCACACATTTATTGGACAATGACTGGACGTCTACACTCCATCAGATACTACTGCTGGATATAAGACTGCTCCCGGCCCTAAACATTCACAGTCTAATAATTTAACAAGCTGCATGAGAAAGTCTGTACTCCTAGAGTGGGTCCTCCTACTTTGATATAAAAATCAAGATAGCCTTTAGAAAAGCTACAATGAGAGTCACACAATCTAAAATTGTAAAGCCCAGGCCCTTAATTGACTAGCTAGTGCTCCAAAAGCTCACTGACACACTTCATTTTATTTTATTCACATTAATAACAGATTTGATTTTCTAAGTACAGATCCTGGATGGGTCACTGACTAGCTTAATGCCCTGAAGCAAGTTACTTCACATGCCTGACCCTGGTTTGCTCATTGGGAAAACACTGTCACAAGGATTAGAGATAATTATGCAATGCTCCAACACAGAGCCTTGCATTTAGTAGAAGTGCAACAAATATAGCAAACATCATAATCACAGGATGTATAAACCAATAACAAAGTGACCAGAAACATCAAATTAGAAGCAATGGGGGTTGGGGGCAGGGACCAAAGATAGCTCTATGAATCAATAGCTAACAGAAAGTAAAAAGTTAAGAAAACCAGGTAGATACAAAACTTCAGCAACAGCCAACTAGAGTCACCAGACAATTACACTTCAATAGCACCTGAGGGCAACACCAATGATTTCACAGAATGAAACCATGACGGCCTAAAGATGACATTAAGCCATTTAAAACACATGAACCATTAAGTCCACATGTGTTTAAAAAAAAGACAAGCACATAATTAAATGACTTTGGAAAGATTTCTTTCAAAAGTGATTTAGCATTACCAACTTAACATTTCATATGCCTAAACTTTAACTGCAAAATTCTATTCACAAGCTTCTGTTTAAGTATAGCATGTGCAAAGGAATCTCTTAAATTTCATAGCAATTTTTCTATTAAACACCAAAAAAGATGTCTTTTCAAATTAACTGTGAAATTTCAGTCCAATGGCTTAAGACATCATCAGCTCCTGAATAGCTAAAACAAGATAAAGTCTTGGTCTCCTTTATTGCTAAATGCTGTTATATCAGCAACAAAACACAAACATGTGCCATGCAGATCTCTCTTCACTTGAATTTTCTCCCCACATTTGGAAGGAAAGAAGAAGAAAAACATCTGTTCTTTTCTGCAGAGCTGACAACCCTCATTCTATGGTTTAAAAATAAAAGATGTTCATGGAGGCTTATAGATCTAACTATCACCTGCTTCAAAGGCAGCTGGCAATTAATTGATCCAAAGACATGCAAATTAAAGCCAGAAAACAATTTCCCTGAGGACAATGCTAGTCCTTGCCAGGGCTCTAGTAATTTCCAAGACACCCATAAAATACTAGAGGATGGTAAAGAATCAAAGAAAAGGCAGATGACAAGAAAACAGGCAACAGCTGAGGAACAGAGGCCTGTGTCACTCTGGATTCCCTGGATTCACCACAGGGAAGCTTCCAGGAGAGCTGTCTGGAGAAAGCCTGCTTCACTGACCAGCAATCACCCTGCATCTAGCCCAGAAGACCAGATGCTCAACAATGAAAGGAGTTCACCATATTAATAATAGAAACTGGAAAATATTGTAAGTGAAGGCCTTAAACACCATAATATTTTTTTAAGTTTTTTCTCTATATGATGTCTTACTTACAGTGCTGAACATCCAAAAATGACTAATAAGCAAGAACATTCAGACTGGAATCAGTAGACTCAGCTATTTTTGGCTCAGCCTCTGAAAAAATTAACAGTGTGACCTTGAAAAAGTTTCATCTCTTTGTTTACCTCCATGTGACCACCAGCTACAAGATTAGGTTAAACCTACCAATTCTTTTTTTTTTTCTTTTAAGAAAGTGAATGGGTGAGATAAATATACAGAAACTGCTATACAAATAACCAATGGTTACTGACCAACTACATTGAAGCATCAAATATAAAGCACTGCCCCATATGTATCACCTTATGTGGAATCTAATATATGACACAGATGAACTGATCTATGAAACCGGAACAGACTCACAGACACAGAAAACAGATTTGAAGTTGCAGGAATGGGTTGAGATGGAGTGAAAGGTTGGGGTTGGCAGATGTAAGCTATTACATACAGAATGGGTAAATAAGAGGTCCTACTACATAGCACGGAGAACCATATTCAATATCCTGGTATAAACTATATGGAAAAGAATATTGAAAAGAATGTATATAGTGACTGGACAACAAAACATATATATAACTAAATCACTTTGCTATATGGCAGAAATTAATACAACATTAAAAACCAACTATACTTCAATTAAAAAATAAAATAAAGGTGATGCCCGTATTAAAGCGACTAACTACACAGTAAAAAAATTCTGCTTGGGGGTCAATAAAACCCACTTACCTCCTGAACAGGAATCCTGCTAAGAGTCCCAAATTTCAAATTTGGAAATACTTAGAACATTTAAATGAAATGCTAGCTCCAAGAATACCCCTTTTTTTCCTTAAGGAAAACAAAACTTTAACCTGGGGTTGAAGGGTCCTATATCTTCAAGACTCAGATCAATCCTCCTATGAATTTCTGTCTCTTCACCCCTCACCAAGGCGGTAGTCACTGCACACTTGATGCACCCAAAGTACTATATCTCTGTGTGTCCTGTGCTCTGAGTCAGGGAGCCACAGAAAGGCAGGACCAGGATCTAATGATCTCTGTGTCACTCAGCACTTAACATATTGCCTGGCACAATATGGCTGCCCTGTGTATGTATATACGTCTGTATGTTAAACGAAGGTAATATGTTTTTCATTTAATATTCATTTGGAAATGAATATTTCCAAATTCTAAAGCTGCTTGGAAGAACAACATTAATGAATGGTAATCTTAATTATGGTGATACTTTCATTTTTAGAAAAACAAATGAGTGTTACCTACATAAGGAGGAAGTAATATCTCACCAACATTAAATTCACAAAAATTAACTAAAGAACTTTCCAATCCTCTTTCTTTAAAATAACTCTTGGGGGTTTTTATGCTTGTGTTTTGTTTACAATTTATCTAGTGAAGATCAAACTATAAACATTCCTAACTTAACCTACAAAATAACAGGAAAGGAAAAGTAAAAAAGGGAGAGCAAGCATGTAAAACATGGAGGAGGCCACTCTTAACAAGAAGAATCTATAAATGTAAAAATAAAAGAGTCCATAGATGAAACTTAAACTGTAGTCAATACAAGCAAGTACCAAAAGTGAATAATATTTACCTAAGGGTGAGGCAGCTGTGTTCATTAAAAAACATAATCTATTGTTTTACAAAAAACCTATTTACTAAAGTAATATAAGATTTATTAAAGAATATAAGATTTTAAGCTTTTCAAATTATCTTTGAAATTTTTAATATTTCAAATACTTATCACAACCTACGAAGACTTGCATAAATTCTCATTTTCTCCTGCTTCTTAAATTCTTATACTCAGCTATTTAATAATTAAGAAAAATTAGTAAGCATGAAATGAGCTGACACTCTTACCAGCAGAAGGCCCTGGGATCTAACCAAGGATGAATTCACTGCACTATTTGACATTCACCACGGTGAGCTGACCCTTGGACAGGCCCTGAAGCGTCCACAGCAGACGCTGGGAAGGTACCAGCAGCATCCCGTGTGCTCTTGGCCTGCTCACCATCAGTCTCCGAGCCACACCCTGTCTTAGTCGGGCCATGAAACCAAATGTAAATGATCCCTAATACTCTAGATCACTCTGTATTAATTTTCTGAAAGCATGTGTGAGATTTGGTTGTGTCAGCAAACAGGAGTGACCACCTAAGTTCACTAAGGCGTCCACCCTGATCACCGAGAGAAACTACGCATCACACGGCGCGCAAAGGCGGGTACATCAGAGCAGTCCTAGAATAGATGATGTGTCACAGGGCTGTGAACAACCTCCTTATTTTTAATGCTGTGGGAGGACGGGAAGAGAAGGATGGCTTTGCAAACGGTGCCAAAAAGGAGTTGATCTGCCTGGCGTGACCCAGGATATTTTGGAGAAGTGGACACAGTGGCCCTTTTTCTAGATGACTTAGAACAGACACGACTAAGCTGCTCCCTTTAATTCTCTGTATGCAAATCGAAGCATTTCCGAAGGGCAGGTGCCCAGGGCCCCGAGCCCAGGGCTCACCTGCGAACACACCCTGGAGGCCGCCTGCCCCGCGCTGCACCAGGTGCGCCGAGACCCCCGCCCCGGGAGCACGGCCCAGCTCCGCAGTCCAGTCGGCCGAGCGGCTGCGGCCCGCGCGGGGCTTCCTAGCCGGGGCAGCGGCGGGGGCCGCGGGGGCTCCGGAACCGCGGCCCAGGGAGGACTCCGGCCGTCTTTGGACCCGGGGGCTGTGGCTGGGGGACGGAGACGGGGAGGGCCCTGGCGAGCTGAGCTGCCGAGTGGTGGTCCTGACATAACAGGGCGCCAGGAGAGGGCGGGCCCGGGGGCGACGCGGGCTGCAAGCTGGACTGCGTGGCGGGGAGGCGGCCACCGGGATGACGGGCTTCGGCGCGCCCTCCTCGCGGGTCGCCCCTGGTGTGCGCGGGGCCTCTCCCGCCGCCAGACCGCACTCCACCTCCGGAGAGTCTCGGGGCGCGTCCTCGAAGGCGTCCTCCTCGCCTTCCTCGTCCGTGTCCGCTGCCCCTCGGTCCACCGGAACCGACCCAGGAGACTCGAAGGCGGTGGCTGCGGGCGGCTCTGCGGCCGGGGGCCTGTCGGAGGGCGCGTACAGCGCCGCTTCGGCGCTGGGGCCCGGCGGGGGTCGGTCCAGGCCCGGCAGGGCCTCAGGCAGAGAGGCGGTGGAGGGGGGCGACACCGGGGGCGACTCGGGGCCCGGGGACTGCTGTTGCAGTTGCTGGAGGCGGATCGCCTGCTGGATGTCCGAGAGCAAGTCCTCCTGCTCCGCGGCCGAGTGAAAACTGTAGAGGTCTGTGTCCGAGCCCGAGCTGGTCCTTTGTCCATCCTGCGCCCCCGCCGCGGTCTCCGAATACTCGGCCACTGCCGGGCCGCCGACCCTGGCCAAGCTGGGGCCCCCGGGACGCGTCACCTCGAAAGGATCCGCACATTCGGTATCCGACAGGCCCGTCTCATCGGCTGAGAGGCTTAGGTCTGGAGTTTTGGTAACCAGAGAGTGGGCGCTGTCCAGCTCGCCGGCCTGCAGGGCCTGGGGGTCCAGCACATCCTCACGAGAGCCGCCAGTACCTCTGCCCTTGGACAGGGTCTTCCGGATGCGCAGGTTGGAGAACACCGAGGCCCTGGGGTCCGACCGGCTCTTCTTCCGGCCCGGCTCCGCGCCGCCGCCCCCCTTTCCGTGCCGGCCCGGCGCCTTCTTGCCCCCGCCCGCCTTCTTTGTGCCCTCGGCCTCGCGGGGCCCAGCGGCGTCCTCACCGCCGCCGCCTCCATGCGGGACATCGCCCGCGCTTCTCTTCGGCTTCGCGTCCTGGTTCCCCATGCTGCAGCCGCCGCCGCTGCGGGCGGTCAGGCCATGCCAGCCCCTGGGCCCGGCAGCGCCGGGCTCCCAGCGAGTCGAGCGGCGGCCGCACAGCTAGGCGGAGGGAGGATGTCCGCGCACCTGCCTCGCTTCGCACAACGCGCCGAGGCTGCGCCCGCCCGCGCGTGGCTGAACGCGCGCACGCAGCACCGCCAATGACCGGGCGGGACGCACAATGCCCCACCCCTCCCGGCCCCATGACCACGCCCCATCGGCTCTAGGCCCCGTCCCTCGGCCCTGCCCCTCCTCCGCTGAAACTCCAAGAGCGCCCCTCGGTCTGGGGACCTAACCGCCGCCAGAGTCCATTGCCTGGTCCCCGCCAAACAGCTTGGCAGATGAAAGATCCACGCTGAGAAAAAGAGAAAAAATTTAAAGAGGAAAAAGGGAAGCCACATTTCAGTTTAGTGGTGTGGTAATATCAAAGCTACATATTGTACTTCCAACCTGCCTGAAGAAGCATGGTTCTTTGATAAATATTGGTTGAGTAGATTGGTCTTTTCTTCAGTAACTGATCATCTTAAACCCTGTTAATGTGCTTGGCATATGGTTTAGAAAAGGTTACTATACATAATACTGATTTTTTGTTATTGCAAAACTTGCATCTCCTTAAGAGAACATTTCATTTCAAAGCGGTCATTTCAAAGTCATTTCAATTGGTCATTTCAAAATTTCATTTTTCAAATTTATTTTTGACAAAATATTGAGGTCGGTGGAGGAGGTTCAGGAAATACTAAGAGATTAGACTCGATTAAAATGCTAATCTCTAAATTTCTATGCATTCACCATATAAACCAAACAGCATTTATATTCAAAAAATCAAACTCATCAATATTAAACATGCCCCTGTTGTTGCCACCTACAAAAAAGAGAGAGGGAGAGAAAAAAAAAAGGAAACAACCTTGCTACAAGCCCAAGAAATCACATGTTATGTGGAAAGCCACCACTCTCCCAAGCAAACCCTTCAAGAGAATCTTTTGTTTTGGCCTTTGCTGTGAAAGTTTGTCACAGTTCACTGTCTAGGGGAGAAAAATGTGCTGACTCCAAATGAGTCTCCTTGGCATTAGGATTCATTTAGGCTGATTATTGGGGGGAGGACAAAGCATATGGGATCTTAGTTCCTAAACCAGGGATCAAACCCGAACCCTCAGCAGTGGAAGCTCAGAGACTTAGCCACTGGACCACAAGGGAGGTCCATAGGCTGACTATTTTTAAGAAACAGAAGACTAAGTCTTTCTTTTTACTCCCACTTATGAAATAAAGAAGGGCTTCCCCCCCAGCATGGCTCAGCAGTAAAGAATCCACCTTCAGTGCAGGAGCTGCAGGAGACACAGGTTGGATTCCTGGGTCCGGAAGATCCCCTGGAGAATGGCATGGCAACCCACTCCAGTATTCTTGCCTGAAGAACCCCATGGACAGAGGAGCCTGACAGGCACAGTTGGACACCACTGAATGATTAAGCACATCAGCCTAAAGAATTCATGTATTAAAGCTGAATAGAGTAATCAGCAGATATATTCACCACGCTGGGTGTGATGGGGAGATTCAGTGGACCTAAAGGTCAGAGTTCACTCTGTCCCTTGTCTCTGCTGGCCTGGAAAATGCTCCCTCACCAAACAGTTCCTCTTCTACCTCCATGTGAATTGCCTTCCTCCCCTTTGAAGTGCCAAACCATTACCCTCAACACCCTCTGTTGCCTTTAGCTGAAGAGTCTTTAAGGTGAGGGCTGTGGCCATTTTGGCCACGATTCTGTTTTCCAGGGTCTCTCCCATATGTATATGTTATTAAACTCTTGTATGATTTTCTCTGGTTAATTGGTCTCATGTCAATTTAATTCTTAGACCAACCAGAAGAATGCAGAAGGGTAGAGAAAAATTTCTTCCTCTCTGATAACTGTTAAAGAGTTTCTTACCATTTTGTTCTAATTCTAGTATAAAAATTTTCCTCACTGTAAATCTTATTATTTTAATTACTTAAGCAATTTAGTTATCTATATTTAAAAGATATTTTTAAACACCACTGGCATCTAAAGAAGCTCCAAGCAGCAAATTAAAATAAGAGTAAAGTGGCATTAGTCAATAATGTCACATGTATTTAAATTAGAAGCTAATTGTTAATCACTTTGAAAATATGGATACCTAGCTAACATGGTAGTATTTTTAAAGCTCAAAGGAGAAAAGAGCACTACGTATTACATGATGCATTTTAAATGCCACAAGCGAAGATTCCTTCACGTATTGTGAACCAACATTTTCAACCTCCCTCCTTAACCATTTTATCAAAAAACCTTTTTAAGGTCTTATAATTCTTTGATGTAAAAGCATCATGCAACAATAATTACTAATCTTTTTCAAATTATATTCTTAAAATAGATGATACTTAAAGGCAAGTGGTTTTCAGTTATTCTCAAGTGACCCTTTTGAGCAAATAATTCTGAGAAATCAACTAATAATTTTGCCAGGGTACGATCCCAGTCTCTTTCAGTTCCAGAGGGCTTGAAAAGCCTTTGTTTCAGGTCTTTCACAAGACTGCTCTCTTCCAGAATCCAGGTTCATCAGAGGGCACAGTTTGCCTGAGGTTGTAAGAATTCTCTGCTTCTCTGAGGACTGATGTACTGTGAATCTTTATTTTGCTTTTTCTTTACCCAGACATATTCGATTCTGAACTATTTGTTTCCTTACTACTTTTTCCAAGATATATTCTACGAATTATGAAGACAAAGGAAGAGAAGGAAAGGGGAAGGCAAAGAGGGAAGAAAAAAGAGAGGGAAACTGAGAGAAGAGCCTGGTTTTCTCACATCCTTTGAATGTGAAACAACAGATGACAGCGGTGTAGAAAGTCAAGATGACAAGGCTTACTTGCTAAGGCTTACTTGAAACTCACAAGTGTGCTTGGTAGGTAGGAAGTTACTTTCAATCCAGTTTAATTAATAAACAAGTTCGGACTAAGACCAAGTTCACAAAGCAGCAAAGACAATACTTAAACCTTCAAGTTGAGATCCCAAATTGTATAACAAGCAACTCTACATAATTTACTTTTTTCCAGGAAATGGAAGAAGTGAAAATATTTATTCTGTTCTTCTGTGTAAGGAATGGAAGAAGTGAAAATATTTATTCTGTTCTTCTGTGTAAGGAATCTGCTACTAAGCTAAAGAGTTCAGTAAATGAAGTTGGTCTTCCAACATCAAAAGGATCATTCAAGGACTCTTAAGTTGTCAACAACCATTCAGAATGAACTATAGAAAGTCCACTCTGAGTGTCTCAGCCCATAAGGTACCTAGTTCAGTGGCAAGAAGTAGCAAAAAGCATTCTAGAGACAGAGTCCATGAGAAATTAAGATTGAAGAAGCCAATCCTTAGCCTTAGAGTACCATTCTTCAGTAGAAATATAATGTGAGCCTTATCAGTAATTTATTTTCCAGTAGTCACATTAAAAAGGAAAAAACAGGGAATTTTCTGGCAATCCCGTGGTTAGGACTCTGTGCTTTTACTACAAGTTGTTGTTATTTAGTTGCTAATTTGTGCTTACCCCCTGCCTCATTTTCTTTTACAGCCTATACTACCCCTATAACACCATGAAGACACAATGAGCAAACTGCCTAAGAATTCCCAACAGGAAAGGTCTTTAAGGAGTGTGTCCAGATATTTCAATTTGCAAAATGTACTTATATCTAATTTAATTGCATTTTGGTTGAAAAACATACTTTTTGTATTCCTATCCTTTTTATGAGTTTCATGGCCCAGCATATAGTCTGTCTTGGAGAATGTTCCATGTGTACTTGGATTCATTTCCTTTAATATCCTAGATTCTATTTTGGAAGCTCCCACCTGGACTGCAAATGATCTATTGCAGCTAGGTAAGTAACCACTTACCTGGGCTTCCCTAGTAGCTCATCTCATAAAGAATCCACCTGCAGTGCAGGAAACCCCAGTTTGATTCCTGGGTCAGGAAGATCCGCTGAGAAGGAGAAGGAAAAGGCTACCCACTCCAGTATTCTGGCCTGCAGAATCCCATGGACTGTATAGTCCATGGGGTTGCAAAGAGTCAGACTTGACTGAGTGACTTTAATAATAAGAACCACTTAGCTCTGTTGCCATCTGTGTTCTCATGAAACCCAGTCTAACTGGCTCTCTGGCACAAACTGTGCATGTCTAATAAACACTGCATTTTCTTCCTGGGCCAAAAAATAAACAGGATTGCCCTTTGGGTAATTTCATCGTGGGAATCTGGAATGGCATTTTAAAAATAACTTTCCAAAAACTGTTGATCCTGTGAACCGAGAAATGTCAAAATTTGCCTTTATATGTATTATATTTATTCCATAATTGGAAATTTTCACTGTTAAGTATGTTGGTGTCTGGCAAGTGGTGCCAATTTTTTTTTTTTTAGTTTTATTTATTTATTTTTTAAATTTATTTATTTATTTATTTTTTTATCACAACCATAGTGTATCTTTTTTTTTTTTTTTACATGTATTCCCCATCCCGGTCCCCCCTCCCACCTCCCTCTCCACCCAATCCCTCTGGGTCTTCCCAGTGCAAAGTGGTGCCAATTAATGCTTGACTACATTCTTTATCTTGTGGAAAGTTCAAAGTTCTAGAATGTAATGAAAGATCCAACCTGGACCCCAAGATTGTCAACAGCAAGGAGACCTCATGCTGTTACTCTCCAGGTGGGAAGCATTTTCCCTTTCCTATAAGGGGAAAGTACTTCCCTGAGTGACACTGGTGAAGAAAGCCACTTTAAAGGCCAATAATATGTTGGCAATTTCCACCAAGTGAGTTTTCAGAATCAAAGTTGTGAGTTAAAACGTTTGTGGGGATTCATACTGATTCCTTCTTAGTAAAATTATGTTGGCTTCTGCTTGAAGATTCATTGATTCTCTGCCCTTTTAGCTTTTGCTTAAGACCACCTCTTAGAATAGAGGTGCTTCTGCAGCACAGGTGCCTTCAAGTGTTTTCAAAT